GCCCGGGCTGCGCGGCGATAGCCGTGGCATACCAGCCAAGATACAGGCCGGTAGACTACAACGCTGCAACTATCAATAAGTTTGTATCTGACAAGAGAGGGAATCGGAAAGGGCCTTACATCAGCGAACCCCATAAAGCCACCCACGGCGAACAATATTTTAGTACGGTAGCAATGCGCGAAACCGGCTCCAACTTCAACCGGACTGCTACGCGATCGACCCGGCCATCCGGCTCCGCCGATCGAGCCACGAGCAATGGCCGGCCACCTTCAATTATCAGATTGAGTAGCCGGGCCGAGTTATAACCCAATAAATACGGATTCTCAAATATTTTAGATAGGCCTCGGGTTAAACGCGCGATGAAAAATTCTGCACGATTATAATATAAGGAGAAATTAAATAATACATCCTGTATATAATATCTTTCGAGTTTCGATTGATCGGAAGATTGAGGGCAACGTGTTCGATCTTCGAAAGTAAATGTATCGAAGTGACGTGCGAAATCATCGTTATTGAAAAATTGATATATAGTATATTAGGAATTTTTAAGAGGGCGAACGCCTATTCGTTTCTTGAACGCGAATAAAGGATCGGTTGGGGGGGGGAAAGCTTATAATTCCTTCAACACCTACCTCGAGCGCGGCGAGTAAATCACCGTTTACGACGTAAAAGTTTCAGAAATGTTTTATACGACAGTAAAAACTGTCCGCGCGATCGGCCAAGACCGCTCTATTAAAACGTCGCTTTAAGAAACGGCGGGAAAAACGTGGAATTCCATTAACACCCACTTCGAAACGACAAGTCTGGAGGCTACTAAAATAGTCTAGAGGGGGAAAAAATTGCGAACGGCAACAGGCGAGTCCAGATCTTATCTGTCAAAGTTACAGCCGAACGCCCAAGTGCTTCATTCCACGCGATCGAACGAAAACCCACGGAACGGTAGTTTGACAAGGATATCACAATGGCCGCGGCGATTTGTCGGCATACTATCGGCCACCGACACGCCTAAGAGCAGAAAATCGCGGAAAGACGCGAGATCTGGTTGTGTCGCACCAGCTGACTTGTCGCCTGTTCCCTCGTGTGGACACAATTGCCTAAGATAGCGGCCGACTCGGCGTATAGACTCGAAGTGAATCGAAGTATGCCCTCTCGTGCAATACCTACGCGTTTACCCGGCAATGAGTTAGCGGGCGTGTCGACCTAACCTCTATCTCGCGCGTACGCGAGAATAGGTTAGTTTCGTCGCCAAGATAAAGAGGGAGCTCTGGTCGAACGTTTGTTAAGTGATCCGGTTATTGGCTGCGAGCCATCCCCACCATTTCTTGAGACATATACGGAGTGTCGATACGCAACGTAACATATAATTTTGGAATTATTTTTCGATCGATTCGAACTACGTAAAAAAGTATAAAAAGTATAGAGTCTCGATTCTTTCGAAAACATTCGTTCAGAAATTGTGAAAAAAATGAAATAGTACATGGAACATTTGTTAAGTGATCCTGTTATCGGATCATTACGAGCTATCCTCACCATTTCTTAGTACTTGAGATAATATTATAAATAAAATAGTACATATTTCTCAAATCTTTTATTCCTCGTCAAAGTGAAACGTAAACGTACCTCCATTCATAAAATCCAAGTAAAACGAATGTTCAAACGCAGTTTCAACAAACAAAAGTGTTCGACAAATATACATAAAGAAGAAAAGAACACGAACGAGAACAAACAGGACTCGGAGGAAAGTCGTCCTGTTCCCTCTCTGGAAATACCTCGTACTGCAAGCGTTGCACAACTCTCTCTCTCTCTCTCACTCACTCACTCACTCTCCGCTCCTTTAATTAGCTGGAGAGGATTTTTCGAATCGGCTTATACACGGCAATGTAGTCAGGTTGATTGCGCGTACACACAGCGCACATTGATCTCGTCCAAAGTCGACAAATCACGGCTGCATTGTGCGAGATCGAGCTCGAGAACTACCGTCTAACTACCAGATCGTATCCGGAGCTCAGCTTTCGAAGGGACAGAAGCGGGGGATCGGTCCCCTTAGGAATGTTCTTAACGAGTGTTCACCACGAGTCGATCTAAGGATCTGCTCCTGGATCCTTCGAGACTATCGTGCCGCAATTCGATCGCGGAATCACGAATGGATTAACGTGATTCAATTCGACAAATAGTGGTAGCCTTTACAGAATCGTTAAGCCGCAGCTATAGCGATGGGATCGAGCGTATCGTAGGTTCGAACAAATGAGATTCGAAATCTCGCCGCACTTGTTTGTAACTATATTTAAAATTAATTTTTAAAGTAATTGTAATTCTCTCTGCGCGTACTATCGTTCGTTTTCACGAGTTTCTTTGCGTCTTTCGATAAAATTGAATTTATGAGCGCGTATCGAATTTATCCCTACACACAAGTTGCACACACTTATCATCTTAGATCGATAGAAAGTGATCGGTGAAATATATCCTCTGTATCGTGTTTGACGATCTTTCGAAGAGGATGTCTCGCGTGTAGGATCGGATATTAGAAGAATTCGTAAAAAAAAAAATCTTATGAAAAAAAAGGATTAGAAAGATTGCTGACCCTTTTCGATTGAAAATAAATTCCAATCCTTTGGAAGTTAATTAAGTAACCCTATCCCAGGAAGGGAATTGAAACCGGCGTTTCAACGTTTTACAAAAGAGAAGAGAAATGAAAAATAAAAAAAAAATTCCCTCCTACTCAGAATGAAATTACGCTTCAAGAAGAACTTCATCCTCAACTTCATGCAAACGAACGACATCGCTTTACAATTTTCAACCTACGCTCAAGAAGAATACACCAAAGGGGAGACACGTTGCACAAACTCCTACACATTAGAATCATAATAAGCTAGAACATCTAGCCTAACCTGTTCAACATATCTACTTCATCCTACCTTTATCTTCGTAAAAACAAATCTCCATAAATACGATAAGCTCGAATACCTGCGTACGTAAAATATTTTTACATCCTTTCGAAGGGAGTAACAAATCCTAACCGCCTCCGTCTCTCCTCCTATTGTTATATATTCCTTACCGTGTTGGAACGAATTTATTTCTCCTCTCCCCCGTGAGAAGTACGAATTTCAATTTCCAAAAGAAAAAACAAAAAAAGAAAAGAAAAGAACGCCTCGAATTTTCGACGGATCATCTTCCGGTTCAACGGCCAACGAAAGGATCGAAAGGTCGAGAAACTTCATAGCAGCCCCAGTGCGGGAGAGCGTACGTGTGCAGCCACCAACTAACTCGGCGGGACCACCGAGGCAAGTTCAGGTTAGGTGATGCGAGAGATGAGGCGAGGCGAGGCGAGACACGACGACGCTGGTTCAGAGACTTCAAAGTGCCCCTTGCTGGACCCCGTAGTTCGATGACCTTACGGTTTCAAGGTCGGGCGAAACTCATCTGAATACATCGGTCCGCGACGAATCCGAGCGAAAAAAAGAAAAAAGAAAAGAGGAGGAGGGAGAGAAACGAACGGACAGATTGACTGGCCAAACGATAACGACCTGCTGGAAGATTATGAATGAGAGAAAGGGAGCTTGTATGTGTTGGTCTTCTGGTAAAAAAAAAAAAATTCGAGTTTGTTAGCTTCGACGAGTAGCGTATTAACCCTTTCGTTTCTCCCTCCCCCTTCTTCCTTCCTGTTTGTTGGACGAATCACATTGATTCGAATTATGGCGTTTCTTGCGGGGATAAAGGAATAGGAAGAAGCTCGAGGAGATATGGTATGGCTTTTTTCTGGTATTAACACGGCGAATTAGGCGGATTTTGTTCGCTTTGTTTTTGCGAGATCACGGTACGATAATTCGCAAGCTGGTTCACCCAGCTGAGAGAAGGATTTTTGGTAATTTTTGAAAACTTCGAAATTTAATCCATGCGATTGTTACACTTTGGATGGAATGCAACGCGGACGCTTAATAGATTCGAGTATCTGTAATCGATCGATCGACAAGTTGGACGCGAAGGTACATACATTCGAATAAATAAATGCCAATCGTCCAAATGCTTTCGAGTCCGTAAAGATAAGATCGATCGATTTTCTGAGAATTGGCCGATCGACAATGGAGCTCGGGTCCAGGAAGCCGGAATCCGGGGATAAGTCACGGTCGGTGGAAAAGAAATCCGGCAACAATAACCATATCGATACCGTATCGGGCTCGCCGGACCGTGAACGCCTCTTTATATTTTCCACGATCCCGAACGAATTTATTGAGTCGTCTCGTATCCACCGCATACCGGATTACGCCGATCCGAGTAGCAAAATCGATAATCAATTAAAAACGGCCGCAAATACACCATTTTCTCGATTCCATTCCACTTATCAATAAGATTCCTTCACAAGATCTTTGTTTAAAATGTGTCAAAAGATAAAATGGCACATTGAAACGCTCGTGAAATTCAAAATTCGCCAGAACACCGTGGCTCAACGTTCCAGACGACATATTGATTGTCGACATATGAGAAAAATATCGTCGTGGGGAAAAAAGGAGAGACGAGAAGAGAAAAAAATTATCGAGCGCCGTCTGTCGATAAATTACGCGGTCATAGGTTATCGAGGGGCCAGATTATGCGGATGAACAGCGCCGATAACGAGTCCTTGGCCAGGGGTTTACTCCCCTCCTTCTCGTGGCCACTCGCACGGAACATCGCTGCTCGAGGGGCTTCGAATGCCATTCGACGATTATTATCGCGGCCCGCGTCATGTATCACGTCATAGTACACGGTGATAGCGGCCCAGGCCTCGCTCGAACAGAGGAGGACGCTGCTACTACCTTTCCCCCGATATCCTGACCCCGGCCTTGTACCACCTTTCGCTCTTCGTTGGCCAACGACAGCCGGGGTTACAGGCGCCTATCATACAGGAGGGCTGATAAAAGGGAGGGGAGGAGGCACGAACCGTATTGTTTGGAAAAGTGAGAGTGAGGAGGGGTCGATGGAACGGTTTCGTTCGAGCTGGTATATTATACGCGGTGAAAGGATAGTTGCGAAGATTCCCACGATGGGGGAAAGAAGATTTGAATTTGTGAAAGGGCGATGGAAATAAGGTTTCGATCAAGTATCGAAATCAAAACACGAGGAATATATATATATATAGGAGGAGAAAGAAGTCTGCGTGAATGAAATCGTAAGAGGAATTGTCACAAGTTGGTCTAGCTATTAAGAAAAATCGTGTCGAGATCGTACAATTATTCCGATACGAAAATGAAAATTAATCGTTCTCCATATATTTGATAATTCGGATGCGTATTATACGAGCGAGAAATTTCGAGCAGGCCGATGTACTACTTTGCCCTTTCACTTTGCCCAACCAACCTCGTATTCGCTTTTGCAAAGTCGAATAGGCGAGGAGAAAACGGTGTCGCTTCATTTACGATCGTCCCAATTGCGGTTTCGGCCGCGAAATCGGTTCCATTTATGGCGCGTTAAGCAGAAGGGCGACTTTTGTTTCACTTGCGGTTACCGGTATAACGATACGCGTTCTCTGCATTCGTCAAATTTCCCTTCGTTAAGTTTTGACAGGATCGGCGAGAGAGTTTAAGAATCGATAAATAATACTTAATTAATAATTGCGCGATATTTCGAACAGATGTATTTATAAACAAGTGATAATAATACTTCGGCAATGATTATGTAAAGAGAGGGGAAAGGTTTCGTTCTCTTTCTTTTTTTTTTTTTTTTACAACGCGTGGAAAATATACGTTTGATACTTGTGCAAGGTCGCGGAGGGGAACATTTGTACAAATAAAATTTCCCAATCGTAATTTGCGCAAGAATCGAAAGCGAGGAGGGAAAGAAGCAACAATTGTTAGAAGTTCTGTAATTGTATTTTGCAAAATGTTCCGGTAAGTTAATCTTTCGTTACAAGGCCGTTAACTTTTCACGCACGGCCTTCTTCCGTCGCGTTTGCACAATGTACAATTAGTTACGATTCTCACGTTCGTTTTCGTTCGGATAACAAGGAAGCGATTGCGCGCGGTATAAAATGTGTGCTCTACTCGAACCCTCTGACCGCCCAAATCTAATCACGTTGCAAGAAAGCTGGTCGATAGAAAAAAAAAAAAAAAAATAATCACTTCCTCGCTTGTTTTACCACGAACCGAAATTAAACGAACGAACTTTCAAGAGATCCAGAGATCTATAATTTATTCGCATTTTCCTGGCAAAAAGAGTTTTCTCCACAGTACACGGGTGAACAACAAAAGTGAAACTCGTGGCACATCGTTCCCACCAATAGCATGCCTAATCAACCACCAGATAACATCTATACCTTCCAACAGAGTGTGTACGGTCTTACGTAAACAATTTTCACTCTGGTTCCCTCCTCCTCCCCCCTCCATTTACGCAGAAATCTGTGAAATCTTATCGAAACTTCTAAATCTTCTAACGTTGCCTTAGCGAAACAGTATATCTTTTCTTAATAAGTAAAAATGTTAAAAAAAAATTCCACGCTGATGGATAGTTATAACAGTGAGTACATTGCTCACTTATATCTTCGTTGAAAAATATTCTACAGCCATTCCCAATCTTTTCGTATTTCACATTTATATAGCAGCGGTAAACTACCACCTACTCTTACATCGATCCGTATAACCTATACGTCATACGCGTCTTCGTTAAACAAAAACCATATATATATATATATATATATATATGCGTGTGTGTAACAAAACCGTGTTCGAGGCCCGGAACAATCCGCCATCCAAACCCACGTTTCCATCACGAGCCGTCCATTCCTCAAATTATACCAACATAATATACACGAAGAATCGCAGTACGGTGTCGCGTTCGACGGCGGTTAACCGGCATACGAGAGATGAATATCTGATATGGGAATCGTTGTCGTGCGAACCCGGGCAGGTCGCGTACGCGCGACGAAGCCGCATACGAAACGAAACAGCATGCGGCGCATTGTAGTCCGATGCAAATCGCGAAACAACGAGGGAGCGGGTCCGTACGGCGCGGGCAAATAGGAAATGGAACTTTCTTGTTCTCAAGCGTGCCTCGGCCGTTTTCCGTGATTGCACAAAGATAAGTATACGTATACGTGGAACGTAAGGAGAAATACGTAGCGGAATTGAACTCTTACAATGACGGAGACCGTAGTTTGTCCTCGAATCCGTCAATCTGTCGAACGAATACATGCGTATGTATTATATATATAATATGTGTCGTGGGTTTAGAGAGTAAACAATGACGGACGGCTGCGCACAAGTTCGAAGCAAAAGAAAGTAGAGGAGTATCGTGTGTCATCGAGATACGGTTCCGTTTCACCGTTGGAAAAAAAGTGGTGGCGCAGGGGCAAGAGGGGTCCTTCGCTGGGAAACCGCTTATCTCTACTTCAGAGGCTTTGTTGACAATTTTACGTAGATACGCAGAACTGTAATTTTCGAAACTTATTATCAATTATTTGAGTTATTATTATTATATTAATTTATTACGAGAAGTAAACGAATTTTTATTTGTTATGCTAATGCTAGTATGTGATAAAAATGCGTGTATGTGAAAATAAGCGTTTCCTTCCAATTAGATCCGCGATTGTCTGGCAACTTGACGTCACAGTGTTAATTTAGATTAAATTAGTAGAGAGGGGAGGGGGAGGGGGAGGGGGGAGGGGGAGGGGAGGAAAGTAACTAGATCGATTGCTGCACCGTCTACAGAAATCTTTGTTACTATATTAACTATATATATTCGATTTTATAAATTTGATTCAAAATTCTTCGTTTTCCCTCATATTTCCTCTTGTTTCTCATTTGAATAAATATCGATTTAGCGTTTTCACTCGCGCGTACGAGCCTTACGTACGTTGTAACACGATAAATTCAATGGGGATGACGTGTCATGACGTTTAGCGTCGTAAAAGTCACAATTTATCGTTGCGTTTAGAGATCATTAAGACGCTAAAGACGCATTATACGACCGTATTATGGATGCATTAGAATCGATCACTGTCGGCAAGGAGGAAATCCAACTTCCAATCTTGAATACAATATCAAATTCTTCTTCCATTTTCTTCAAATTTGTTATTATAAAAAAATTGTCGGTTACACGATACTCGTTCGAAATTTGATCGATCACGAGTTCCACGACACTGACAGGGCTCCGAGAAGTTCGGTTTATCGCGAAACTGATTTATAACTAGATCCTTGTAATAGAAATAAAAGTTCGCGAAGTTGCAAGCATTGCACGGGAAGGCAGCACGCGTTCATAACGCTTGGCGACAATGAAATATCGCTAGGGAATGCTAGGAATACGGGAGAGGAATCTAACTTTCGCGTGGAGTTGCAAAGGAGTTCGTTCCACCAGAGGAAAAGCCACGCAATCGTAAGCCCATAGCTCTCGTGCGTGGCTATACACTGTTGCTCACAAGTATCCTCGACACTCTACTCTTCACCACGACTCTCCCTCTCTATAATTGCAGTTTAGCGCGAGAAAGAGAACTTTTCTATTCGATCTCTTTTATTATCGGTAAATCTGTTATACACGTACTTGCTTGCTTGTGTAAAACAATTTTCGGATTTTTTCTCGAGCAATTATCGAAGTAGAAACAATTCGTACGAGAATCTTGATTCGAAAGATGAATTATGCCCTGATGAAATTCGAACGATTAACGAGCAATCAAATTAACCGGTCTGTATAAAGTCCACTTACAACTTATTCAAAATCGTAAGCAAAACTCGCCCTCGTTTCGAAATTTATTTTTAAAGCAGAGTAAATAACACCTGCCACGTGACGTTTTATGATTTATTGCACGGCATTATGCAGTGGTAGTTTCATATTTAAATTGCAAAAATGGGGAAGATAGGAGGATACTTTTGACGGGTAGTGTACGCAAGCATATACACGCGAACAAAGTTGCCCGGACGAGTAAGCTGGCTTATGCGTTTTTGCGATTGCGATTATGTTGCAACCCGAGATTCGTTTGAACCTGTCCGCGTCGGCCAACGATTAACGATAACACGAGTTCTACGATGTTGAGTTTAATGTAAACGTTACACTTTTTTTCTTTCTCTTGGCTCGATCGATTACAGGATCGAGGATAGTATTGATTCTCTGGAAACGGAAAATGTGCGCTTTGATCGAGAAATTGAGGAATGATGGATGGGATGAATCGATTGAAAAATTATCAAGATTCCACCACTACGCGATAATCCTCTCTTTAACATCTGCAGTACAAAATTATATGTGAACCGAGCTGTCGAAAGTCTGATATTTCTGATGAAGGGATTTTTCGTTTAGGAAAAAATTAAGCATAGAGTAGAAGAAACAAAGATTCTCAATTATTTGTTTTTGCTTCTATCGACTGTTCTATTTACAGTATCGTATATCCTAACAATATCACTAGTTACGTAGATTTTTCGATCCTTCTCTTTCACTCGTCGTTATTATTCCAAGCCGTTGTTCTAGAAAATGATAAACGAGAAAGCAGCCTTGTGTCATTTCTATTCTACGTAACCTGTTCCACCAACATTATCCGTCACGAAAAATTGGGCCAACTGCGTTGCTTCGAAAGTACCGACACGATGTCCAGCAAGTTGGACAACAAAGCAGGACATCTGTATTTGTAAAAGTGATACGCGTGAAAAAAAAAACTTAAAAATTTTGTTAGAATGTTTTCTTTTTTTTTTTTGTCAAAATGTATAGAATAATTTTGAGGTTAATTTTAAACTTCCAACTTACTTATTACTTCATTTGTTGAATTACGAGAAATACGTGGATTCTTGAAGAAAATTAAAAAATTATTATTTTGTAAAACAAGACAAGGCAATAAAGGGAATTCCTCCAGCTAGGAAACCACGCTGCACTTAATATTCATAACGATATAATATCCTCGTGTTCTAAACGTGACACGGTGACTTACTTACTTTCCCTCCGTTTTTTACAACGTATCAAAACCAATTTGTAGTCGAATGGAGTGCTATGCGCGAAAAAAAAAAAAAAAAAAGAAACGATTCACTGACCAAACTTACACGCGTAACTATCGTTAGGTTTCTCTGG